GGTCAAAATTAGACTCAGGCAGTGGGTTGGGAACAGCGCCGAGGTATAGCACGTGGTGGATTCAAAGCACACGTATTTGAATTTTTCTAAAATGAAATTTTGTGTCTGAGAATTTCGTTTAATACTTTATGTTATTACGCATACCTTCTGCTTGGACATTACTGTTATTGGATTTGTTCAAATTAGTATACCGAACAAGCACGCGACTTAAATGACAGATTACTGATGTATACTTAATGTTAAAAATGTTATGTTTAATGGCGACCTTACAAAATTCTTACCGTACAGCAAAAAATTCAAAATATTGGAACAAGACAATACAGAAAATGATTCTTATATATTACCGAAACTCTGTCATTATATTTTCAATAAATTAATTATTTCCTAAATGAATTTACAATTAATGATGTAGACTGCTGTTGATCTCTCTCTGGTGACCTCGGGAAACCAGAATTGCATAGGTATGGAGTGCCTGTTGCTGTCTACATGATACTTACCTCATCGTTTAATCCGCTTGTCCCCTTTAATTCCTGAGAAATCCATGAAAGCAACAGACTAGACGATATTTAAAATTATTTTCTTCTTCTTCAGAATTATCCTGAGACAGTGATCGGTTAGGAGCCAGTTCTTTCTAAGCGTGTCGAAAATCCGAACATATTCACGAACTGAAATTGCAGATTCTCGGGCAACATAATTTCAGTCAGATTTTGCAACCGTTCTACTGGAAATCCAACGGAATATCACTAACAAGCTCCGATGATGTAAGCTTCTTTGTACTGTGCGAAAAATTAAACAACAGGTAGACTACCTTATAAGCTGAATACAGAATAGTTTAAAATTAATATTGCAAATTTTAGGCTATTCGGGTGTATCAAAGGTTATTAGTTTTTGGTATTAAGCATATCAGGAAGAATAATTGCGAATATCTGGAATTTGTTTCCCGGGAAATCCTAATTTCAGTTCCTGAATGTGCTTCGACAGGATATCTTATTGCATACCAATGCCATTGCTTTGCCAGTTGGCGGTCGACCGCGGACCTCAGCATAATTTTCAATATAATCGAACACTTACATGCACTACTCGACCATACAAGTCGGCAGCTGACCGCTTGTTGCGGCAGTGCCAGTGTCTCACTAGGGGAAAATACCTATGTAGCGTCGTGCCACGCTCAAAACAGACAACCACGTGGAAATCGGCGAAGCGTCGCCGGATGTTAAACAGAGGGCGGAGTGATGACGCACTGTGACTTTCCGTGGACGTAGCGGGCCCAGAGCGGCTTTGGGGAGAGGGCAATGGAGGCGGGGGGTAGAGCCAAAAGGGCCTATATAAGGCCAGGAGAACAATGCCCCAGTCTTTTTGTTCGAGCGGCGTCCGCGACAAGTGAAGCGCGTGTCTGTGCGTGTAGGTGCACTAGGGCGAGGGGCCGGCAATTCATTGTCATGACTTGCGAGACGCGTAGATGGTCTCAAAGTAGAGCGGCTTCATACAGGGAAGACCGGTGGTATGTTGCGGTGTGGTAGCCGTTCGTAAATCATCTCTCCTTGTAGTGGGTCTATTTATTTAGTTTATTGTGAGCACGGTTTTTGTTAAATTGAGACTACGGTCTAGATTCTTAATAAATCCACTGTTTTACAAACCACTCTCGTCTGTGTTCGATTACACCCGTACGACGTCACACCTGGATACCTACACCCGACTTTCCCACAACTAACATGTACTACACTATCAGGACCAATGACAGCAGTACACTTGTCTGAAAGCATCATTAAGCGAACCGTGGCGTAATAGTGTGTCTGCTCTCTTACAGCGACGGCTCTCGTGCTAGTGAACGATTCCCTTTCCTAGCAGCGCAACACCTCAGAGCGGAATTGTTGGGTGCGCATGCACCGATTTCCCACACACACACTTGAACACGCAGAGCCCGAGAGACGCGGCCGCCGGTCTCTTAGTGCACACAATTGCGCGCGAGGATGTGCGGGGCAGGAAAACGCTCCTCGTGCGACTTTGAGCAGCTCCCCATTGCCCTTGGCCATCCTGCGCAGAAACAGTGCGTATGTCTGCGCACTCCGCAAATGTTTTGCCATCGGTGTTCCAAGAGGAGCTCTCCGCTACGGGTATCCGGATATCAGCCTGACGGTGCCTTAGGGCATCGCGAAAGAGGTGGGGTAGGGACAAAAACTGGGGATCTTCCTTGCGAAGAATAAAATTCCCCTGGTATGAAAGTATGTAATAGAATGAACGCTTTTTGCTATCGCTTCGAAAATTCCTAGAACAGTTCGTTGCGATACGCTTGAAGACGCGCAGACCTTGCTGCACAGGTTTCTGGTACACGACAATTGATTTGACGCCTATTTTAGGGCTAGGACTGGGTTCGATCTCGCTTATGGGGGGACAGCGTATGTTACCAAAAATTGAATTGATATTAATAATACTAGTTTTCTTTCTCATACTTAAATTTTGTGTCTGTTCCATGACTGTAAGAACTCCTAGGGACCAATCCATTCTCGATTCGTGCCGTTTTTATTTCCACGCATTCGACATTTTTAATTCCGTACAAAATCGTGCAGAATTAAATCGTTACAAATAAAAGGAGAAGATATGTTACGTAAATTAAAGTGATGTTAAATCAGCACCAGTTTTAAATACGTTTTAGATAACTCGAATTTTGATCGTGCAAATAGATATTTCTTTCCAGAGGCCCTTCGAGATTGTGGGTTTTGACTTCCCCTACAACGCAAACGTAAAGTCCCAACCGGTGCGTTTTCCTATTGTTATTCGCACTCCTTAATATACGGCCGCCGCCGACGTCCGCTGAGTAATGAAATGCCGTGCGAATGAATACGGAGCGGGCCGTGCGTGGGGGGCGAGAGGCGACGTGGAAAATTTCGCCACCGCAGCCTTTGCCGCTGGGCGCCTGCCTGCGCGCACGGGCGGCGGTGGCGGAGATAGAATGGGGATGGGGGTGGCGGCGAGGGCAGGGCCGTTGCGGTGGCGGTGACAATGGTGGGAGCGCGGGTGGAGCGGCGTTGGCAGTGGGGACGAGGGCGGTGTCGGTTTCGGTGGCGGCGGTGGTGGAGGCGGCGGCGGTGGCGATGGTGGCGGGGGCGAAAATATAGCGGTTGCGTGGTGGTAGCGGGTTCCGCGAGCAGGACAGAGATGGTGGCGGGAGCGGTAGAGGGGGGCGGCGGTGTGGGGACTTGAGGCGGCGACAGTGGACGAGGGCGGAAGAAGAGGCGTGGGTGGCGGCTGGCGGCGGCGTGGTGCGGTGTCGAGGCGGAGGCGGAGGCGGCGGCAGCGGCGCGCCTCAGCGTCCGGCCCAGGGCGCTCGGGTTTCGCACCCCCCCCCCGGCCCCACAGTAATTACCGCGAGGAACTTGCCCGCCCGTCCCTCGGCGCCTCGTGTCCCCCGCCGCCGCCGCCGCCGACGTGCCGTGGACTTTATGAGATGCGTCGGGGGCGCGGGCCGGCGCGGAGGGGAGGTCTGGGGCGGGGTGGAGATGGTGACCCGAGCGTCGGGTGGGAAGCAGCAGCGTCAATGGTGACGACGGAAGCATTGGTAAAGGCGAAAGTGGTGATCTGATGGTGTCGTTGATTGATGTTTTGGTGTGGTTCTCCTAGTCTACGCAACTCAAAGAAAAAGACGCATTGATAGGCCCAAAAAAAATGGTGTGATCAACGAGTCGCAACAAAACAACAGCTCTAATACTTGAGGAACAAGAAAGTGTGATTGATAAGTGTTTCCGGTTGAGTTAAGTGCTACAGTCATTATTCACATTTGTGTAGAGAATGTTTTATTCCTGAATGTGGGAGTTTCTCCTTCCCCTGGATTGTGATATCTACTGTCGATCTACATTGCTTGCGGAATTTCTCCTTTAGGTATCTCCCACCAGCAGGACTCCGCCCTAGTTGGGACGAATTCACTCCTGTTTTGACAATAGTATTTTGTAGAATATGAAAATATGATCAGATTTCCCCCATTGATCGGAGAAACCATGCTAAACTACAGATCAGACAGTCTGACCGCTAGAATTCTCATCCACACAACGGCTGAAATTGACTCAGGTGTCGTCGACAGTCTTTCCACCAATGGGAATCGAATCCTAGGACCTGACGAAAAGAGTGGCTGCAGTGGGCACAGTTGGTGACATGTCTGCTGGTCTGCTGGTGGGCGGCAAAAGCGGTAGTGACGTCGGTAGTGGGTCGGTGGGAAAGGAGGCGGGGTGGGAGCGGCTGGGCTACGAGGAGGAGGGATGTCATAGAGAGGGTGCCGTTGCACGGGGTGAGTCAGATGCGGACAAATAGAGAGAGACCTGCGGATACGAGATAAGGAAAGATACATATTGGCAGAGGGTGGGGGACGTGAGGGCACAGATCAAAATGCGGTCGACGTTCTACAGGGGACTATTATATGGACAGATGTTCGAACAGTGAAGGCTAGGACACTGGTAGCGTAGATAGTATTTCCGTATAAGGGTTTATATCAAGGTCTGTTTTGAAATTATAGGAAAATGGAATTCTTAAAATATGATGTATTGTGACAAAATGTGTATTTATCTAATTAATTTTTTCATACGTTGACATTCTTTCGCAAGCTCCTGTAGTCACCATATACCATTTCTCATTCCACTTTCAAAGAAGTGTTGCAAGACCACATGATTTTGTGCTGCATCCTCCTTGAAAGAAAATCTTTAAACACCTTTCTGATGGTGTGGAACGGAACTGTTTAGAACCGCAACTGGACTGCGTGAAAATCTTACTTCCCAATGCTGATCCGTTCCAGTTTCTTGGCCAAGTGCATTTTGCTCATTTTTTTATGATCATTCTTTTGATTTTCGTTTAACAGTAGGAATTTTATGTAGCGTTTAGAAAATTGAAACTCTGTGCTGCTTATTACCAGGCATTTTTACGTAACTATTATGTTTTATCGGCTAGTCAAAGAAACCCCAACTTTGCGAATGAAACTGCTGCTTACCCAAAAGAGCTCTGGACCCAAAACAAAAATGCATAGAATCAGTGAAAAGCCTGTAAGTTATTTCACACGTAATGCCCTGTTTCCCTTTTCTTCTATGTTACTTTTCATGTAAAAAGTATTGAGTGGTGGGATAAAGTTCTTAGAGAGATATGTAATGATTGGTTACGGTTTTCAATTTTGGAAATAAATGAATATCTAATGGATCCAAGTTTGTAAGGTGGAGAGAACAAGTCCAAAACCGAATACCACTAACGTTTTAGTTACAAGGTTGTGGGTGTGCTTTTCTCCTGTCCTCCCCATAAACAACGAAGAATGGGATTTGCGCATTTCCCTATTCAGTTTTAGAATATATTCACGATAATACAGTACAGTAATGCTTCGTCATATGTAAAATGTAATAAAATAATGTGTAAAATGAAACTTCAAATTAACTTCTCCCTATAGCACGTCACACACATTTTTAACGATTGGACAACATACTTCGTCCACGTAAAACTTTGTCTAGCATAATTATTCTGTGATGACTGCAAGCAAAATTCATCTATTTATATTCAATTCAGCTCGAACAATCTTGTTTTTCGATGCGCGGAAGATTGACAGCTTCCCTCGTTTGACAGTGATTTCAATTTCGGTCCAAAGACTCTAAACCACGTTTTATTTGTAGCGATTGTACATTATTGATTTTGATCGTCTATTTGGCCCATAAAGTTTCAATGTGGATATACTAATATTTGATCCTCCTCATATCGAGGCGGGCTCGGTTTCTGAGTCGTTTAACAACAGTTGCAAACCAATGTCATTCCGAGACCCGAGACCACCAAAGGGAAAGGGCGACAAACGTGGATCCCAGAATAAACTGCAAGATAATTAATTGGGAGATGTTATCCACTGAGCAAATAATTATATACATTAAGACCAATATAGTGCAATCATTTTCTGTATGTTTGTGTTGAAACATTTCCAGTGTATATTCTTGCCTACTACAATTTGTAAAGAAATTTATGCAATACTGTTCGAAAAGCGGTGAATTTTCGGCAGAAAAAAGTTTTGTGTCTGTGATGCAAACAAAGTGACGTTTCGTATTCGTAAAACTATTAACGTACATTCTTTAAACGTTGGATAGTCAGAATCCACATTTTGCGTCATTGAAGCTGACCAACCGGTTTTCTACAAAATGTCTATCCGTATGTCTGTGAATAATGCCATTGGCTAAACAATAAAGAGGATATAAACAAATTTTATAATCCTCAATTGATTTTACGGGGATATGGAGACTCTTGAAATTGAATAGGATATTTTAACTTTTAAAGGTACTTTACATGCGTCTTCAACATCATTTTAATCATACCATTAAAATCATCATATCATTAAAATCATAGCTGCAAATTTCTCCCTTTTTACTTCCTTGTACTAACTTAGTAAGAAGAGAAATTTATGATACTGAAAAATTCCTCGTTACCAAAAAATAAATTGACGACGAAACGTCTATCTGGCGTCTGGCTGTCCGTTTGTTGTCTGCCGTTCAACCGATTTTCTCCAAAATTGATATTCTGAATGAACGCAAGACTTCGAGAATTTAAAACTGATATTTTGATTTTTGAAGGTATTTGACATCAAGTTCCAAAAACAGTTTCAAAATTTTCTTTAAAAAAGGCACCAATTTTTTAATTTAACTTCGCCTTCTGATTGCATATAAATGCTTAAGAGACTACAGGTCACATGCTCGTTGAAATCTCTGATTTTTCGGAAATTGTTGGAGCGTCTTCCTACAACTATAATATTGAATATACATATTTTTCTCTAATGAAATTTATTTCCTTAAACATCTTGAAATATAATCAGGAACAGTGTTTCAAAAATATGAGAAGTTTCTGTGTAATTTTGCGCAAAATATAGACAACATTGAAATTTGTAACCAATTTTTTCTCTGAAATCACACCCTTTTTAACATTTTTCTTCATCTACATCAAGGTAGAGTAAAAATATGATATCATTCCTATTTTCGTCGAACTCCCTGTAATTTTGCAAATTGCTGCAAGTTAACTACTTCAAAACTATAAAATTGAAGACAGAGATATTTGCCTTAGACAAAGTCTCTACTAAAAACTCTCTGTGTGAAAAAGACCATGTACATTTTTTTGAAAAAAAGACAAGGTTCTGCGTATTGTGGGTCTGAAATTTATTCATTTTCTAAAAAAAAATATTTCCTCAAAAATCATAGCATTTTTTCAGTCAATTTTCTCCTAGTATGTATCAAGAGGCGGTAAAAAATATATAGTTCATACCATTTGTGGCAAACTCCCCGTACTTTCGAAAATTGCGTGTTGGGAATATTGGGTTGAGATAATTATAATTTTATGCGTCGCCCGAGTTCAAACATTACCGTTTTCTGTAGTGTAGTGGCAGAGCTGAGTGGTATGCCGAGTTAATTCGGAAGACCTCAGTTTGAGTCTCGAGGTGGAAAGTATTTTTTTCTTGTTGAAAACACTTTAGTGTGTTTAGGTATGTGTATAATATAAACACTTATAAATAAGGCGAGAAAGTATGCGCTGTTCGAGCTCCATAAGTTTCTTGAAAATAATAAATTTTGATTATAAACATGCACTCTTGTAAATATGATGAAGATAAAAGTTTCATTAAAATTGCATAAAATTATATGTTTGCCATCGCCTTCGTACATCTACAATATTGAAGAAAGATATTTTTCTTCGAAAAATACTTTCCCCAAATTGCATCATCAACAATTTCACATAACATTTTTGGGAAAAAAACGACTAATTTTTGTCTATTTTTTTGAAATGATGACATCTTCAAAACAATTACGTGAAAAATGTTTTCCCAAATCTGCTATTTTTTCTTAATTTTCTTCTTCGAACTCCTACTTTTTCATTAAAACAATTGATTTTCGAAAATTTCTACTGTTAACCTTTAACTGGTTATTTTTTAACAAGCAAACTATCCAACTACCAATCTACTTGCCTTATAATGGCAAGTAGACTCGCCTTTGTGCTTACATTAGTGATTTGTTTATGGTTAAATGTAACGATAATATTGTAAATAATGAATACAAACTCCTTGTCTTGTAGCATTTGAGTTTTTTTCTGAACATTTACAAGTCATAATGGCCCGACGGTGATTATAAAAAAGATCACGTGATGAGGTACTTCTGCGAACGCTTCTCAAAAGCCGTGTATGAACTGCAACTGTAAGAGTCAAACCATTTATGTTTATCTATAAAAAAACCTTAAAATGTACTTTGTAGCACCATATCATACATTTTCAATGCATTTAATTCTGTGTTTCATTGTAAAAATGAGTTTTCTTTATATTACTCAAAGTAGCATGTTAGACTACGCCTTTATATTAATACTTGGTACAGGTCGCCTTTGTAATGTGGGGTTAAAGAACACATCATCTTTTCGACCGTGTGCATTGTGCGGAGCAGGATTCTCAACTCCAGTATTGAAGGCATGGTGGGGGTTAAAGGAGAAACGGCGGTAGCGAATCGCCTCAACTGAACTTCAGCGACATCTCACGGTGAATGAAGGAACTTTTCCCGGCTTTTTATTTCGGCCAATAACGACTCGCGTACAGGTACTTGGCCAACGCCTTCTGCACATAAAAAGCTCACTCATTGACGTGGAGATGTCGCTGTAGTTCAGCTGATTCGATAAGCTGCCGTTGTGTGTCATACATACTCACCCATCACCTGAATTTAATATCACCTCTTATACATTTCATACTTTGGATGAAACAAACAAATGTGCAGTGAACCCTAGTTTATTCAAGCTTTGAACTATAAGTGACGTAATGATATCCGCAGTGTTTCCAACCTGTGCATTAGTTATGAGAGTATTTTTGTACAGAGCATGTGCAGTGCATCTTTTTTTCCTTTGCCGTACCATAAGGTCTCTTTTCCGCAATTTTCATGTGATAGATCATCTGGGGTGAATACCAGATTTTGAAAGGTAAGAACGCCTTAGGATGTTAATTTTGTAATGGCTTAAAGGACATCTTCCCAGCTAGTATAAATTAGTAGTATAAATTACGTAATTTATGTAAGATTTACGAATTAAATATTAAGTTATCTTTTTTCTTAATATATGAAAAAAATGAAATAAATGATGTTTTGTTTGCATAGGAATTAAAACATATTTATAAAATGATATCTGATAAAGTAAGTAGTTTAACAGATACCAACGCAGAATGTCCCTAACACAGCAGATTCTGTGTGCCCTCCTACCACGCCCTCGTCCTTTGTGCCCTCGGGGCTTGCGCCAGGGAGAACACGGCCCATTAATGCATGGGAGGGGCGGACACATCAGAGATGGTAGAGGCGGCATGGAGCAGGAACATGTAGAACGGAGGTGGATGGAGAGGGTGGAGAGGGAGCGGATAGGGTGAGAGGGAACTGGCGAGAGGTGTTGGGCGAGGGGAGTGAACGAGAAGGGGGAAGGAGAGTGCGACGAGAAGAGAAAGGAATGGGTAAGAGAGAGTGAGGCGATAGAGCTGGGAGAGAGGGGCTTGGTGAGTGAGGAAGGGAAAAAGGGAGGGGGCAAGAGAGGACAGAGGAGACGGGAGAGAAGCGATGGGGAGTGAGGGAGGGACTAGAGGGCATGGGTAGAAAGGAAAAAGAGACCGGGGGCTGGGAGAGAGTGGGGCAAGATAATTTGGAAAGACAGGTAGTGAAGTTCACGGTGTGGGGAGAGAGGGAACCCGGAATGTTGAGGAGAGAGGAGAGAAAGTTGGTATAGAGGGTAAGGAGAGAGTAGGGCTTTGTGAGGCAGGAGTGTGACTAGAAGGGGGGAGATAAATGGAGTGGGACCCAGAACGAACAAGGTGAGAGGGAACGTGGTGAGATGGGGTGGGTGACGCAGTGGAGGTGAAAGTACACGAGAGGACAGGGTGGGAGGGGGTAAAAGCTCATTCACAATGCTCATGCAAATGGAAACGTAAGCATAACGCACAGACGGAATCAGAAACATACTCGTAAGTGATACTTAACATATGAATAACAGTTGAAACATAATTGAAGTATTCACAATATTTAAC